TCAAGATGGGATCCTAGACAAGCAGCACAACAGCCAAGGAAGTTGAACACCCGCTATTTCATACCCGCAGAAAATGAATGGTCATTCAAAGGCTACTGGAAACTAGATAATATGTATGTGTAGCTGTAGAGCTGGAAATGCAACATTTTGGACAGGCAAAAGTTTAAAAATCTCAAAAGACTTTACAGACAGGAATGGGCAGAAGAGGCAGCCCTACTCTGCTTGCCACGCGGGAGATGTAACTAATGTACAGCTTTTTTTCCTGCAGGACGGGAGCACTGAGAGGTGATGTGAACAAACGGTTGTGCCACAGCACATCTCCTACCCCACTGTGTAGCTGGGGGACAAATGCTGCACCAGGCAATGCGCACGGTGATGGTGAGGGGACTTCACAGCTTCCTTGCTCAGTGGTACCAAACCCAGAACCGGCCATCTGCTGCCCTCCTCATGCACTGCCGCGGCAGGCCCCACAGCAGGGATCATTCAGCATCAGAAGTGCCTGGAGACGATGTCCTACATCATGAACAGCTGCGTGGTCCTATGCTGGCAGCTCACCTGCTTCCAGCTGCTAAGAATACACTCAGCAGACGCCTAATACTATCTTCTTCCACAGGCAGAACAATCCCCTGAGGATGCTGGATAAAAGAAGAGAAGTCACCCAAACAAACATTACTGGTAAGGAGGAATGCCCACCAGAAGACCCACCATACCCCGGTACGTAGGGTATGTCAGCATTCAAGAACCTTTGAGACTCCCATTCGAGTTGGAGTTATTCAGTAGATGCAATAACCTCCTATAAGACACCAACTTGCAGGCTGTAATTTGTGGGCAGCCCTACATTTATAAATTCCTATTACTGCAGCTTGTGCTCCAATGTGTACGTTACCTATTAACTCCCTAGCGCTTGATTGCGGCTATAGGTTGCTCTTTAAATCGAAGTCTGGGATTAATTCAAGACTTTCTGAACTCATCTTTGCTCAAGAAAGTCAAAACCAGTTATTAACCCTGCTAGCAACTCAGTCAATCAACTTTACTCCGTCTTAAACAAATCTAACATAGAAATTGCAGGGGCAGCCCTTTAAAAATCAGACAAAAGCAGCAAATGAAGAAACAGCTATTTAGTTTTCAGGTGTATGTTTTTAGTCATGTGATCAGTAACCTCAACAGGGATAACTCAGATGAGCAACTATGAGCAGAGATGCAAGCCCTTAGGATAAGAAAGTAAGGGCCAAGATGAAATTTCGTAAAAGAAATGTTTTACACTGAGGGTGGTGAGACACTGGCCCAGGTTGCCCAGAGAGGTGGTGGATGCCCCATCCCTGGAAACATTCCAGGTCAGGCTGGACGGGGCTCTGAGCAACCTGATCTAGTTGAAGATGTCCTTGCCCGCGGCAGGGGGGTTGGACTAGATGACCTTTAGAGGTCCCTTCCAACCCAAACTATTCTATGATTTATAGAAACTTACTGACCTGACACAGAACCGCACTCTTCCTCTCTACACTGACAATGTGTTAAAAGGAACTTCCTCTTTTTTTTATTCACAAGGAAACAGAGATTACAACATAGTTTGCAGAAAGAATAGCCATTTTTAAAGTAAAACCAAAAGCAAGACACAGAATTAAAAAGCCTGAAATAAGCAACAAGCACTGTCACTCATCGCTGGGCGCGCTTTAAACATTTAGTAGCGTGGAAGCACTTTAAGGTTTGGTGACGCTGGGGAATGAAGCCCCTTGCCCCCAGCCATGATGCTGCTCTAGACACGGTCCCCGGCAGTGAGGGTACCAGGGCAGCCGTACCCCACGCCCAGACTGCTGAGTTCATGCAGCTGCAACGGGTTATTCGAAAAGGAACAGCCTGCCCACGTAAGAAGCCGACTGAAACCCACAAAACTCATCTCACCCAAGCTATGAAAACAGTAAATTTTGCCATATAAAGCTATTACTTGTCTGGCCTAGATTCAGAGGAACAACCTGAAAGGTTCTTTAAAAACACCACTAACGATCACCCTGGGAAGTGAAGGATCTAATGCATTTGCAAACACCCACTATTCTTCCCCTCACACTAATCCACTTTCCTGAACCTTTAAGGACCCAGCAAACAGCACGCTCAAGAACTCCTATATCTAATTTTACGTGGTCAGTGAATGTGGACAAACCGGAGTAACATAGCTGTGGGATAAAAATGGTAATTAATGCAGAAACCACCCAAAGCTGAAAGGCTGAAAAGCACAATGCATTAATGATCCCATTTAGAGGCTATTAGAAAACTGCTCTGCTAAGATGAACCACATTTAGAATAAAAACCTAGCACCTGCACACACACAAAAAGAAGCAGGAAGAAAAAGTATTCCATGACAGGCATATACAATAGTTAATCAAAAATGCTTGTTTCTTAGAAGTGTATAAACCCCAAATTGTTTTGGTTTGGTGCTTTTTGTTTTTGGTTTTGGTTTTTTTTTTTTATGTACGACCTACTGATTTCTCAGCACACTATCCAAATATTGGACAGCAAGTCATCTCCTTGACAATTTAGCTGTTCAAATATTATGTTTGCTCAGAAGATCATTATCTGTAGTCTGGAGAAAACACGAGATGCATACGCAGACACGTTTGATTTATGCACTTACCCACCATAAGCAGCCAGTCACACCGCACCCTACCTCCTTACCACTCAGTCACTCCAGTAACTCTCCTCTGTTCAACCTACATCCCACTGCTGACACCAGCAAAATAACAAAACAAGGCCCTTCCTCACCCCGAAAGCCTCAAGCCTAGAAGTCCAACATTTCCCTAGTCTAGAAAACAAAGACGTTTTCAACCCCCGGGCTTCCAGCCCGAGCGGCGACTCAGAGGACGGCTGTACGCAGCGGTTAAGCGCCCGCCTCTGAGCCCCTTGGTCCGTC